AACCCCAACAATCTCCAAGTCTCGAATCCAGTAAGTACCACAGCCTCTTACCACCGAAGTCCAACACTGATCTCTGTCCAACTAGTGTCAAGTCTACAATTTGAAGAAGAAGAAGAAGAAGTCTGAAGAAGAAGAAGAAGGAAGAGAAGAAGAAGAAGAGAACAGCGGAGGAGAGAGGTGAGGAGGAGAGGAACCAGGGACCGTGGAGGGAGGAGACGACCTCACTCCCGAGTACCTGGTCTGCTGCAACTGCCTGGAGCCGAAGTCGGCTATGGCTGTTCGCTGACTGGCTCCTCGCTCACTGCTGCTGCTGCGCTGCTGCTGCTCCTCTATGCTGCGCTAAGAATAGCGTTGCGCTCCTGCTGTAGAACCGAAAACGAACTGGCGCTCTCGCAGGGTCCAGTTGCTCGATGCCTCATACTGAGGCTGGACCGGTCTTCTTTTGTACCGGTGGAAAAGAGGCCGGCCTCAATGCTGCGAGGCCTGGCCGTGACCTGACCCGTCAAGATCGACGGTTCAGATCAGACCGGCGGGCGGCAGCCTCAAAAGCGCCGCCAGACCCAAATGGTAATGTGATTTGGGCCTGCCCGTCGGGTCTGGTCCAAAACTGTGGCCTTTATGGCCTCCTTTACCCCAAGTGCGGGCCTTTAGGCCCTATTGTGTCCCCTAGGCCCTAAGTCGGGTCCGGTAGGACCCGTGTGGCGTCGAAGATGTAACACACTCCCCCTCTTAAAAGACCGAGCTACCTGCGAGGGCGAAGTTGTTTGTTCGATACCGGTTTGGGTCGAGCGGGACGAGCTGCTTCCTTGGCAAGGCGTCGCTTCTCATAGTCGGCGAAGATAAGGGGTGCAGAAATCTGCAAGTCTGCACTAGAGATCCACCGAGTGTCGTCAGGCGCACATTGCTTGAATGTGACTTTGAACTGCATTGGCTTGTTGCCATACTTGCAGTGTGTGATGACTCGGTCCACTTCCTGATGTTTGTCCATAGATGGCGGATCCTGTGATCGTCGACCGGGAAATTCGTCAGCGGAAGGTGGCGTGTAGATGGCCAGCTTTGACGCGTGGAAGACCCGGTGCACTGGAAGGTGCGGAGGAATGTTGACCACAAAGGAAGGACCTGCGGGGTCGTTTCCAACGGCAGAAGTAACTTCCTATGGTCCGAACCATTTCGGAAGGAGTTTGCGCGAAACGTCCTGCTCGAGCGCAAATTCCTCGGAGAGGACCCAAACAAGGTCTCCCTCGCGGAAAGGACATGGAAGTCGACGTCGGTTAGCTTGCTGCTGCATGCGGATTTGAGCCTTTTGCATATTCGTGCGGGCTTTGATCAGCAAGTCCCAGTACTTCCGAACGAAAGCGGGAGAGCAAGGGACGTCTATGTCGGCGGCCTGTGGCAAATGGAGATCAGCGAAGATCCGTGCTTTCTCTCCACCATGATGTAGCTCGAATGGTGTGACGCAGATCGTCGGGTGCACCGAAGTGTTGTAGGCGAACTCAATGTCGGGAAGCCGGTTAACCCAATCTTTCTGGTTGGGACGGATGAGCGTACTCGACATCATCTGAGCGGTCTGGTGTGCTCGCTCCATCTGGCCATCCGTCTGCGGGTGCCGAGCCGAGCTCGGCTTCATTGTTGTGCCGGACTCGGTCATAAGGGAAGTCCAAAAGGCCGACATGAAGTGACTATCTCGGTCGCTCACTATGTCTTCCGAAACGCCCTGGTTGGTAATCCAACCGGTGTGCAAGAGTCGTGCGAGCTCAGGTGCTGCAGCATGATACTTGGAAGGAAGAAAGCGAGCATACTTGCTCAAACGGTCAATGACCATGAGAATACCGTCATGGCCGAGGCGATCACGGGGGAACGGGCCTGTCACGTCCATAGCAATGGAGAGGTGCGGTGCCCGCGGAATCGGCAACGGTTTCAATTCGCCGAAGGGGACTCGAGATCGACCCTTGTTACGGTGGCAAACTGCACATGATTCGATGTACCTCGTGACGTCGTGAAGGACGTCGGGCCAGTGAAAACGCTGGCGAAGGAGTGCTAATGTGCGGCTTACGCCAAGGTGTGCCGAAAGTCATGCGTCGTGGAATTCGCCGAGCAGGCGAGTCCGTAAGATGCGATCTTGGGGCACAACTAACAAGTCCTTTCCTCTCGTGTGAAGGAGAAGGAACTCGTCGGAAATCCGATAATGGCTAGCCGGCGGGTGATCCGATGAAAGCTCTGCGTAAAGCGTAGAGTAAGTCGGATCGTACTTGTAGCCTTTGACGAAATGCGGCTGCAGATCGTCATCGAGGTCGAATGCCATGGTCACAATGGCACAAAAATCGGGCCGTCGTGAGAGGGCATCCGCAGCTCGATTGGCGGTACCGGGAATGTGGCACAGGTCAAAGTCGAACTGGTCGATGTAATACATCCATCGACCGATCGTGCTAGTGACCGTATCCTGCGTTTTATAAAGGTCAACGGATTGTTGTCCATATTCCATTTAAAACGCCGACGACCGAGAAGAAAGTGGCGCCACCGTTTGAGAACGGTGACTTAGGCGAGTAGCTCTTTCTTCCTAGCGTTGTCGAGAGTGTTGACGAGAGGCACCTTTTGGGAGAAATACTTGACCGGATGCTAACCGTCCTCGTGATATTGTTCCAACACCGCACTAATACCGTATCCTGAAGCGTCTGTAGTCACTTGGGTGGGAAGGGTGGGGTCGTATATACGGAGGGCAGGTGCGGTTTGCATTGTTGCCTTCAATGTAGTGAACGCGCCACGGGCTGTGTCGCCGAACTCGAAGGGCACCTTTGGGGACTGAAGTCTCGACAAAGGAGCGGACACTTTCGAGTACGACTCGACGAATCGCTGATAATATCCAGCCAAACCCATGAAAGAGCGTACGTCCGTCGTGCAACGGGGTTCCGGCCAATCCACGATGGCTTGGATCTTGTCCGCTAAGGGACGAATGCAGTGACCCAAGTACTCAAGCTCCTGCTTGGCAAACTCGCACTTGTCGAGGTTCGCTTTGTACTTGGCCAGTCGCAAATGATCCAAAACAGCGCGAAGGTGTGCGATGTGCTCGTCCAACGTCCTACTATAAACCAAGATGTCGTCGAGGTGAATGAGGACGCTACGATCGAGCAAGTCGTGAAACTCAGTCGGCATAGCTGCTTGGAAAGTCACGGGGGCATTGGTGAGGCCAAATGGCATGACAACCCACTCAAAATGCCCGTATCGCGTCTTGAACGCGGTTTTGTACCGATCTTGAGGCTGGATTTCAATCTGGTGGTAACCCGACTTCCAGTCCAACTTCGAGAAGTATGTCGCGCTGCCTAACCGCTCAAGGAGATCATCAATTCGAGGGAGAGGGCCGGCGTTCTTTACGGTTTGTGCGTTAAGTTTGCGATAGTCGATGCATAACCGTAGATCTTTGTTCTTCTTTCGGACGAAGAGAACAGGGGCACCGTAAGGCGAACAACTAGGGCGAATCCAGCCCTTGTCGAGAAGGTCATCGAGTTGTGCGCGAAGCACTTTGAGTTCCTCTTCGCTCATGCGGTAGATACATCCACGCGGAGGGATGGCCAGCCTCGAGAGTGATCCCGTGACGTATGGGCCGATCTGGAACCGTTCCGGTGGGAGCCTCGAAGACGTCTCCATACTCGTCCAAGAGGTGAGAAATGCGTGGGTCCTGCGGTGACGAGGCTGGTCCGTCCGGCGAGGGGAGCGCATGCAAGAATACAATTCCCATCTCCTCGACGTCATTCCGAGCTATGGCGTCGCGAATTCTCGCAACGGAAACCACGTGGCAAGCAATCGAAGTGTGAGGGGTCGCGACCGTACATGGGACTAACACTCCGTTCCGATCACGGATGTGAACGGTCCGGTCATGGAAGTTCACTAGATGATCGGCGCTACGCAACCAAGACATGCCTAGAATCATGTCGAACTTGGTGTCGAGGATGTCAAAAGACACCGGCTCGCACGCAAGTGGCGCAAAGTATACCGGAACGCCTTCGACGCATCGGTCAATTGACTTTTACGTGCGGCCGTCCGCGAGTGTAACTTGCGTAGGTTGCGTCTTCCTTCGAATGCGCGGGCCAAGGCCTGCGTGGGCCATAAAGGCTTGGCTGATAAAGTTGCGAGACGCTCCGCAATCAATCAAGGCACTACAGGTTGCCTTTCCGATTTGAATGCGGATATAGAGCAAAGGAGCGTCGGTTCCGGCATACCTTTGGGTGGCGTACTCGCGGTCAATCTTCGCAAGATAGGAGCGGAGATCGACAATTGCTACCCCGTCCTCCGTCAATGGAGCTGGTACTGTAGTGAGCAAATAGGAGCGTAGATTTGCCATCAAGGCGTTGCAATGCGGCCTTGGCAAGGTTCCGGTTGAGGGTAGAGGCATCCAAGCGAAGTCCGCTCTCGTGAGCGGGTCAAGCTCCTCAAGTCTTGACCACGCCGTCGAGTCCTCGGAAATCAGTGGCGAGCTGACCGGATCACTTGCCGACGGTGTACAGGTTGCGCATACGCAATCTAAGTGCACATGGCTCGACTGGTCTAATGGTGGTACCAGCTGGGCGGCATAATCCTCATACGTAGCACGAGAATCAGCGACTAACGCATGCTCTCCGGTAGTGACATCGGTTGCTAGCAAGGCAACCGGTTTCGGCGGAGTGAGGAGAGACGTAGCACCAAAGGCAATATCCGTACCGTTGACGTAGATCAAATACTTCCTTGGTTATGTTGAACGCCGTCCATGGTTGCTGCCCAGTTCCCGTCGATGTCGTCGCTTGTGTCGCCTTGTTCTTCCGAACTCTCTTGGGACGCTTTGGCGGGAGCGCTGCGACAGTTCCTCCATCACTCGAGGATGCTGCTGCAGCGTGGAGATCGACTGTTTCTTCAGAAATCACGGTATTGTTATGTGTCGGTCGTTTGGATGGGACTGCTTCTCGATAGCGGCCTTGTCGTCCGTTTGGATGACGAGGTTCGCACGATCCAGAATAGCTTGGAATGAGGTATAGTCGTACTCGTTGCCGAGTGCCAACCGCAGTCCTGCGCACGATCGCGAGAAGAACTCGAATCGTTGGTTTGTGAATCTCAACTCGAAACCTGGCGTGGTTACTATCTTCTGCCACTTGATCGTCCTGTCTCGAGTTGGCATGCTTCCCTGTGAGCAAGTGTAGACCTCGTTCATGGTCGCCTTCACGACGTTGCGGACCATGAAGCGAGTGAACCACAGCTGCTCAAAATCTTCCCACATGAGGTGTTCGTGTAGCTCGGCGATAGTGGTTCCCTTGTTAACCGCGAGGTGGTTCATCCATGCTTGCGCACCTCCAATGAGTTGGAGGTATAGTGCCTTCATCATGTCTTCGTCTGGTACCTCGTGGCAGGACGCTTCGGTGAGGAAGGCTTGCCACCATGTCAAAGCGTCGCTCTTGTTGTAGTCCTCGAACTTGCCGATGTTGAAGCGTGGCATCTTGTATACCTTCGCAGCTAGTGCCGGTTGCGACTGCAGCTTGGTGATGTCCGTCTTGATGGCGGCCACCGTGCTGCTGATCGTAGCCGGACTGGTGAAGTCACTTTGGCCGATGCGCTCGCCGAGCTGCGTCGTCGTGTCTAGTGTGCAGTCTGGCGCTGCTTGGGAAGGCCTTGCCTTCAGAGTAGCAATGCGGGCGTCCATCTGTTTCAGCTGGGAGTCCGCGACCTTGATGGCTGCTGCAAGCGTCTTCATGTTATGGTTCAGATCGATCTGCAGGTGCGGTACTGACCTGGAATGAAGGTCTCTCATAGTGCTGTTCTAGATGACTGCACGCATCGTGCATAGTAAAATGTCTGCCAGGTCATGTCTCTCCTGCTGTACTGCCATCGGCTCGGCGCCTGCTACGGGGACATAACGCATCCCGTTGAGCACAGCGGCCCACTTATCGTGTTGAGTGATCAGAAGGTCGGCACTGTCGGCGTTGAGCTTGTCGACCGTCAACTGCTCCGCCTCAGCTTGTTGCTGGGCTTGGGCTGCAGCTTCTGCTGCCAGCCGCTGTTTGTCTGCTTGGCAGCATCTTGCCGTTCCTTGGCAAGGGTTAGTGCAACCGTATAGTCTGCACTCTCTGAATGTAGTCCGTGATGGACTCATTTGGCCCTTGAGCAGGACAGACCGGCAAAGGTTCGGCATTGCTAGATGTCGAAGTCTAGGATGACGTTCCGCTGTTAGGCGTGATCGCCATCTGAGTGCTCGTCTGTGGCTGCTGTTCGGTGGCTTGCCCTGCTGGCATCAGAAAACTGTTGCTGAAGGCTGACTCCCGAATGGTCGCAAGACAGTGAGAGGGAGAGGGTGGGTACAGGGGTAGAATAGATCAGGCAATTCACATAGTCCCTGTCCCAATGATGGACTTAGACGCCTAATCAAACAAAAAAAGATAAGCTTTCCTCGAAAACAACTCAAAAATTCGTAATAAGTAAATAATAATGAATTAATAATCAATATTAATGATTAATAATGAATTAATACTTGTTAATAATTATCAATAAAACAATAATTGCAATAATGATAATTATCGAATTTAAATTGTAAAGATAAGGTATCCGTTGAGATCATCTATAGTCCGGGAGTTCATCGTTGAATAGTGAATTACCCGGAAGTTGCGATTCTGGGGGAACAATTAGTTGCGATTCTGAAGAACAATTACGAACAATTTGCCAAAAAAAAATTCGGGAAATTAGGAAGAAAAACACTCGAATTTTTGAAAAACATAAAATTTTGAAAATTTCAACCTACAAAATTTGAATTTTAAAGGCCTAAGTCCGTTTTCGAAATTTTTCAAACTAGGGAAAGAAAAAAAAAATTCGCGATAATTTCGGAGTCCAACCCTAATTTTTTGCGATTCCGCAGAATTTTCGGTTTTACGGTTCCAAGACATTCGAATTTCCCAATTTGAACAAAATCCGAAATTTATCGTAACCCTAATTTCCAATACCGAAATAAAATGGAAATACCGATTTAGAAAAACGAAATATAGGATTTAAAAACAGAATGCGGAATTAAAAACGGAATGCCAAACGAAGTCAGAATGTCGAATTAAACAGAATACTGATTTAAACCTTATAACGCATTAGAATCATAAATCCGAATTAAACAGAATATCGGATTAACCAGAATACCAATTAATCGAAAATCGAATTAAATAGAATATCGGATTACACCAGAAATCCGAATTGAAAGTCCGAATACCGAATCGAAACGGAATGCCGAATTAAACAGAATACCGAAAAAAGAAAAAAAAAATTGCAGCTTTGAATCTCGATAGTAATAGAGAGTTGAAGAAGCAATCTATTCCTAAATCAGACTTACCTTGTGAGCAGATCCGTTAAATGGTCTGCTCGGATACCAAAACTGTTGCATACTTCAATAAGTATAAGCAGAACCAAAGATCAACCAATATAGGATAAGCATATATGCAGCGGAAGTTTAATAAATGGACTGACTCACATAGACTGACTCACACAGATATCACTCCACACACAAACAATCGTGAGATGGTGGGGTCTGAGCCAATCACAGACGATGCTCGGGCCTCGTACACACATACACAACTGAAAGGTGGTAGGAGAGACGAAGGAGGTGGGAGATGTAGGTAGCGCCAGATGTCACCGAGATAGAATCCAGTAGGTCACGGATATGGTAATCCAAAATGTCGTCGAACAAGATCAAAATGTCGTGGACAACAAGTCACCAATATCGGAGGTACAAAGTCCCAATGTAACCGGTGTCCAATCTGTGATGCTGCCGAGTATCAACCCCAACAATCTCCAAGTCTCGAATCCAGTAAGTACCGCAGCCTCTTACCACCGAAGTCCAACACTGATCTCTGTCCAACTAGTGTCAAGTCTCCAATTTGAAGAAGAAGAAGTCTGAAGAAGAAGAAGAAGAAGGAAGAGAAGAAGAAAAAGAGAAGAAGAAGAAGAGAACAGCGGAGGAGAGAGGTGAGGAGGAGAGGAACCAGGGACAGTGGAGGGAGACGACCTCACCCCCGAGTACCTGGTCTGCTGCGACTGCCTGGAGCCGAAGTCGGCTATGGTTGTCCGCTGGCTGGCTCCTCACTTGCTGCTGCTGCTGCGCTAGCTGCGCTGCTGCTGCTCCTCTATGCTGCGCTAAGAATAGCGTTGTGCTCCTGCTGTAGAACCGAAAACGAACTGGTGCTCTTGCAGCGTCCAGTTGCTCGATGCCTCATACTGAGGCTGGACCGGTCTTTTGTACCGGTGGAAAAGAGGCCGGCCTCAATGCTGCGAGGCTTGGTCGTAACCTGAACGTCAAGATCGACGGTTCAGATCAGACCGGCGGGCGGCAGCCTCAAAAGCGCCGCYAGGCCCAAACGGTAATGTCGTTTGGGCCTGCCCGTCGGGTCTGGTCCAAAATTGTGGCCTTAACGGCCTCCTGTACCCCAAGTCCAGGCCTTTAGGCCCTACTGTGTCCCCTAGGCCCTAAGTCGGGTCCGGTAGGACCCGTGTGGCGTCGAAGATGCAACACCAACCCTCTTCCTCTAGCCCCTGGATCTGAAGGTGCAATCAAAACTAATTATGCCCCTCTTACTGTATCCTCTTCCTCTAATGTGTTGGCAACCCCCTCGGGACCTGCAACAGGTGCAAATTCCGCTGTTGCTGTAACAAGCAATGAGGCTGGAACTTCTGCAACTGCTGCAGCCCCAAGAGTGGAACCAGCTGTTGCTGGTCCCAGCCACGCTGGTCCCTATGTGGATCGAAAAGCGGTACAGATATCGTCCAAGTACGACGGCAAGGAAGACATCGAGTCCTGGATCGGCTCCATAAGGGCCTACTTTGAGATTCTGGGGACTCAACTTGAGACCCAGGCAGTGATCATGGGAATGAATGTCGAGCCGGTCGTACGGGGCTTCCTAGAAGTCGAAGCGACGCGGTCTGGGTTCCAAAAGACTGCACTAGCCAAATGGCTTAAGACCACCCCGGTTGCCTCCCTCGAGGATCTCCTTATCTCACAATATCAGGATCCACATGTTGCGGCTAGAGCAAGAATCCAACTTGACAAAGTCAAGCGCAGCAAGTGGACAGGCTCCATGAAAAGCCTGCAAACCTATCTTAGCAAGATGTTCGCTACTCCTGGTTTGGAATTGACTGCTCAATCTTGCTTAGATGTGGTTAAGGGCGCGGTTCCAACGAACTTTACTAATCGTCTAGGCAGGGACTACATTGCATACACTGACTGGCTCACCTTAATGAAGGACATAGTCAGTTTGGAGGCTATAGACCTCGTTAGCACGACAGGCAGCAAAAAGCCCATGGGCGGCAGTCGGTTCAAGGGCAGCAACCGTTTTGCTGTGCGTGACCTGCTGGAGGCCGAAGAAGAAGCCGATGCGGATGACCCCACTCTTGGTGACGACCAAGAACAGGACTCCGATACAGCTTGTTCTTCAGCCCATGAGTCCGATGCAAATAAAGAAGAAGAAAATTTTTCTGCCTTTAAAAAGACTGCTAGTACTAAGGGACTGAATCAGAGTGTCGGGAAAAGTTATTTCCAACTTCCCAAAGGAGTCGAGATCCCGCCTAAACCGGAGGATGCAACTACCAAACCTTGGGTTGACCTCCGGATCACTGAGAATGACTGGCGGGGCAGACTCAAGAAAGGGGKATGCAGGGGCAGACTCAAGAAAGGGGCATTGCCAGAAACCAAATCATAAGGTTCAGGACTGTTATAGGCTGCAGGGAAACCAGAATCGGGCGTAGAGTCAGTTTCAGCAAACTCTACAGCAGGGGAGTCCGGTTCTGTTGAAAATCAGCAGCCCTCCCTTGAAGCCCAACCATCTGCTGAAGACAAGGCTGAGGTAAGTAATGTCTTGTATGTTGAGCCTTGGGAGGAGTCTGAGATGGTTGACTTCCACTACCACTTGGAGCATTGGGCTGAGATGAAACAACAGCGTTCCCAAGGGACAGTGAAGTTGATCTTCTTTAAACTTCTCATAAACCACCGCTATCTCCGTGTGTTGGTTGACTGTGGTGCTACAGCTAACTTCATGTCACCACATGGGATACGCAAGGTGGGCTTGGGAATGAAGCAAGTGGCCCTGTAGAACCCTTGCCGGACCCAAGTTGGCAACAAGGAAGTTGTCTCTTCTACGCATGCAGTCAAAGGTGTGTGCACTACCTTTGACAGAGGCAAGACTGTCACCCACTTATTGAACTTCTTTGTCCTTGACAAGTGCCCCTTCGACGCTGTCCTTGGCTTGGGCTGGCTACAGTTCCAATGCGAATGGACCAAGTGGAAGGAATCACTCTTCATGGTCAAAGATGCTCAGGGGAACGAGCTTCATGTCTTGGATGAGAAACGCGAATCCCCAGTGACTTTTCTTAATGCTATGCAGTTCTGCAAGAAATGGCGCAAGCACAAGGAGGAAGAACAGTTGTATGATGCCTTTGTTCGTCCTACCCATGTGCCATCTACTTTTGCGGCTAATACCATTAGTACTTAGATTGATGATCCTACTTCTGGTACTTTTACTAATAGCACCTCTACCTCTCTACCCTCTAATAGAACGAATGATCCTACTTCAGATTCGGTCGTCTCTATACGCGACTTGCGGCCGGATCTTGGTGATCCCTTTGCTGATCCTANCTCTACCTTTCTACCCTCTAATAGAACGAATGATCCTACTTCAGATTCGGTCGTCTCTATACGCGACTTGCGGCCGGATCTTGGTGATCCCTTTGTTGATTCTAATACCACTAGTACTTTGATTGATGATCCTTCTTCTGGTACTTTTACTACTAGCACCTCTACCTCTCTACCCTCTAATAGAACGAATGATCCTACTTCAGATTCGGTCGTCTCTATATGCGACTTGCGGCCGGATCTTGGTGATCCCTTTGCTGCTTCCCCACCCCTACCTGTCCCATCAGACATCCAAACCCTCCTCGGTCGGTTTCCGGAAGTCCTGGCCAAGCCACGTGGAGTCCCCACGCCCACCATCGATTTGGTCGAGGGTGCTGTTCCTCCAAAGGGTTGCGTGTACCGTATGGGACCCGGCGAGTTGGAGGAACTCTGGCGACAGATCGATGAGATGATTGACAAAGGGTGGATCAAACCTAGTGAATCTGAATTTGGTGCTCCTGTGTCATTTGTTCCAAAGAAAGGAGGCAAACTCCACATGTGTATTGACTATCGCGGTCTAAACCGCATCACAAGAAAGAACGCCTACCCTTTGCCCCACATAGATGACCTACTTGACGCTGCAGGTGGATGCAAGGTCTTCTCCAAGTCTGGCTACCACCAGATTGAAGTCGATCCTGCGGACCAGCACAAGACTGCGTTCAAAACACTCGACGGGCTTTATGAGTTCACCGTAATGCCCTTCGGTCTCACGAATGCACCAGCCAGTTTTCAAAGCCTCATGGACAAGATCCTCCACGAACAGATTGGCCGGTTCGTGGTAGTCTACCTTGATGATATCCTGATCTTCAGCAAGTCCATGGAGGAACATCTCAAGCATCTTGAGGAAGTGCTCGCCATCCTCAAGAAGACGCAACTCCATCTCAACTTAGAAAAATCAGAGTTTGGGAAGGGCAGCGTCATCTATCTTGGGGCATCGATCGTCTGATGCTGGCCTAGAGCCTGAGGCAACCAAGGTTGAGGTCATACGCAATTAGCCTCAACCCGCGAACATTCGCGAATTGCGTTCTTTCCTTGGCCTCGCGTCCTACTATCGGAAGTTTGTACCCCGCTTCTCTATCATTGCTCGTCCATTGTCGCGACTGACTAGTAAGAATGTTCTTTATTCTTGGGACACCACGTGTACGGATGCATTTCGAGCTCTAAAGGAAGCCTTGGTAAGTTACCCAGTACTCCGCATTGGAGATCCTAAACTGACGTTCGTGGTCACCACGGATGCAAGCCAGTACGGAATCGGTGCAGTGCTGCAGCAAGATGACGGCGACGGCTTGCAGCCACTCGAATATTACAGCAAACGCATGCCCAGCGTAAAGGTAGCCACCTCCACTTACATGCGCGAGCTTTATGCTTTGCGTATGGCATTGGATCACTGGAAGCATCATCTTTTGGGACGCCTCTTCAAGGTCTTTTCAGATCATGAGACTTTGAAGTGGATTAAGCAGCAAACTACCCTGTCCCCTACCTTGCTTCGCTGGTTCCATGAGATTGACATTTTTGACTTTGAATTAAAACATAAGAAGGGTTGTTATAACCGAGTAGCTGATGCTTTGTCTCGCCACCCCGAATACATGACTTGCCTTGTTAAGTCCTACGACCTTCAGAAGAAACTGAAGGAGGAGCTCGTAGAGTACACCGCCAAGGATCCGGAACTCAGTTCCATCCTTGAGCGGCTACGGGCTGATCCAGGATGTCAGCCTGATTTTCACGAGTTTGAGGGACTGATCTTCCGCCGCTACGGGAACCATGACCGTTTGTGTGTGCCCAACCATGAGCCTCTCCGCACACATTTTCTGGACTTGGCTCATGGCCGGAGCGGGCACTTCGACATGGCAAAAACGTACGCTAATTTGCTGAAGCAATTTGATTGGCCTGGCATGAAAGGGACTGCTGAGAAATTTGTGGCTGAATGTTAAGTCTGTCAACGGATCAAACCATGCAGACAAAAGCCCATGGGGCTACTCACACCCCTACCCATTCCTGATGGACCCGGGGAGTCTGTCTCCATCGATTTCACTGGCATGGGTAAGGTAAGCAAAAACGGGTATTCACAAGTCATGGTGATTGTTGACCGATTTTCAAAATTTCTTAATATGATCCCTTTGCCGCCTCACGCCCCAACAGATCTAGTGGTTCGCGAATTCCAACAGAAATATCTGTTGCAATTCGGAACCCCGAAGACTCTTGTGAGCGATCGGGATCCTCGCTTCATTAGCATTGAATGGAAGGATTTCACGTCTCACCTAGGAATCAAATTGTGCATGACAGCTGGCCGACACCCCGAAGCCAACAGTTTGGCTGAGGAGATCAACCAGACTGTATTTCAACTTCTCCGCGCGTTGATTATTCCGGACCAAGAGACATGGGATGAGGAGCTGTATTATGTTAAGGGGTTGTACAACAACTCCGTCCATTCTGCCACCGCCATGACACCCAGCAGGTTGCACTACGGTCGGCAGATCCGTAATCAGCTCTCCTACTTATTCCCTGAGCAGCCAGCTGGCTTAACACCCGGCAGACCCGACTTCAGGGCTAAGTATGATCGCTTGCTCAAAGTTGTTGTGCAGCTATGACCAAGCGACAGCATGCCATGATCCACCATGCAAACAAAAAGTGACAACCATCGGAGATTGAGGTAGGAAGCTATGTCTGGGTGGAGATGTCTGAATTCTCAGAAGAGGAGGGAGTCTCGCGCAAACTCCTCCCACTCTACTACGGGCCTTGGGAAGTTTTGGATGTAATTGGGGAAGATCACTTTGGCCCTTCGTACGTTGTAGACGTGCCAGCTCACCTGCGCACATATCCCGTGTTCCATGCATCTAAATTGCATCTCCACCGTGACGCCGAGACATTCGATTACCGCGAAGATATGATCCCTCGCGCAATCAAGGGTGGGCACGAGATAGATAGAATCAAACAGCATGTAGGTAACGAAAGAAACAGACAGTCCCAAGTTCATTTTATGTATCACCCGTTAGAGGATTTGTACTGGATCTCCAAACAGGAACTGCTACGCAGCGCACCGCGCGTTGTCAAAGCCTATGAGCGACAAATCGCTGCTAACGCCGCACCAAAGATCTCAGCAAGGCTCACTGCGACAGAGTATTCCAGGAATCTCTTTGCCTTGCTTGCTTACCATGCGTTTGCCGAGGACTCAGAATGAGTTACTCGCTCGAAGGAACCTCGCTCTTGAGGGGGGGGTAGTGTGATAACCCATCCAAACACGGGCTGAAACACACAACTGATTTTCTAGTGTTGTTCATAGACTGAATGCCCTACTGAGTTCCCCGCCTGCTAAGTCTGTGTGTGTGCTTGCTGGACTACATGTCTGTCTGAGTGCTGGTTGGCTTGCGTGTGTGTGACTGTGCCTGTCTGAGTGCTGGTTGGTACGAGTGTGTGTGTGTGGCCCGCCAGGGCACTTGTTCGTTCGTTGGGCCCTTGGGGCCTGGTACTTACCTGTGGCCGTGGCTTCGAAGGGTTGCAGCAGGGAAAAAGCACTCAAGTAGCGGGTAGGCCGGTACCGCACCCGGCAGGGGGGTAAATATGCAGGTACCGGAGGCCGAGCAGAAGAAGACAAAAGTGGCATTTTTAGAGGCCGGTAGTGTAGGCTAGGTCTAGCGGGTACCAGTCTGAGTCTAGGGCCTGTAGGGGCAATATCAGAGTCTGCAATGATGTTTCCCTCCAAAAAAGGAGGTACCGGTTGCATGGGAAGGCCAGCGGCGTGGAAGTCACCGCCCAAGAGGCA